GTCCTGAGTTCTCAGGCAAACTCACATTTCCATTGAAACAGGTTTGAGGTTTTGTTATTCGTTACTTCCATTCGACATTATCTCGGTTATTCTGACAACTCTTTTGATGGTGCAGCCCGGGCCTAGGGACGGAACCATTCAATGTTTTATCAAAAGGGACAAGTCTAATATGACTAATTACCACCTTTACCTTTCTCTTAGTCCTGGTAAGTCATTCGTCTTTGTGTCGATATTACTAAACCTCCGCTTCAGAACCCATATGTCTTAGTTATGATTAAATTCAATACTTATCAAGATCTTGAAAATATCAAGAACTCAAATTTTCTCTACTACTTAGTTTTTGACTCTTGATATTACTACTTAGTACTAACCTTTGTCAAATTTGTACAGCCTTACATGTTGAAAATGGAAAGTTTCTTCTCTCGGCAAAGCGCACACGGAGAACTACATACACAGAGTATGTGATATCAATGGATGCAGACAACATTTCAAGATCAAGCAGCACATACATTGGCAAACTGAGGTGATAAGATAAATCATTCGTCCAAATGTTTAGTTCTTGATTAATTCTGACAAACGTTGTCTTACTTCATTTTCAGGTCTAACTTTCTAGGGACAAAATTTATAGTATATGATACGGCTCCTGCATACAACAGTAGCCAGATATTGTCCCCACCAAACCGAAGTCGTAGGTTCAACTCCAAGAAAGTCTCTCCCAAAGTCCCCTCTGGAAGTTACAACATCGCTCAAGTTACATACGAGCTCAACGTGTTTGGAACCCGTAGACCTCGCAGGATGCACTGCACTATGCACTCTATACCCTCCTTAGCTCTAGAACCCGGCGGTACTGTCCCTGGCCAACCTGAGTTTCTACAACGTTCCCTTGATGAATCTTTCCGCAGCATCGGTTCCTCAAAGATAGTCGACCACTCGGGAGATTTCACCAGCGCCCGATTCTCAGACGTTGTTGGACCGCAAGGAGAAGAAGATAAAGGAAAGGAACGACCTTTGGTACTGAAAAATAAGCCGCCGAGGTGGCACCAAAAGTTGCAATGCTGGTGCCTTAACTTCAGAGGGAGAGTGACAGTAGCTTCAGTAAAAAACTTCCAGTTGGTATCCGCTGCAACGGTTCAGCCCGGTGCTGGAGCATTGACCACGAGGCCATCGGTTTCATCACAGCAGGAAGGGCAACCAGACCATGATAAGATGATACTACAGTTTGGGAAAGTGGGTAAGGATATGTTCACTATGGACTATCGTTATCCTCTCTCTGCCTTTCAAGCATTTGCCATTTGCTTGAGCAGCTTTGATACTAAATTGGCATGTGAATAAAAGTAGAAAGATCATTAGATGGAGTTCAATTGAATAAGAACCGTTGATGTATAAGATATCGATTATGCTAGGGCTTGTTTGTTTTTGGTTATCTCATCTCGTGTGTTGGTGAATGTGAACATTATGGTTCTTTATCTACTAAAAGTTGAAATTGGTAATAAATGCATATTCGTTGGTGAACTTTAATTTTCTGTCGAAATACACACTTTTAGAAAGAATTATGATGCTAGAACCTAACTTTTTTTTTTTTTTTTTTTTGTGTGTTAACCTAATATTCTTACTTGTAAAAATACCATGGTAAATCAATAGGATAAAACAAGATTTCGTCGGTCCTATATCATATGAATTTAGATGAAGTTTCCCTAAGATCCTATATGATTTTTATATTAGAAACGATCAAAGGAAGATGATTTTGTTGATAAAGCTCAAAATTTGGCTAAAACGTTAAAAAAAATTCATTTTGATTCATAGAAGTTTAAGAGAGTTTCATGGCAAAATATTTGATACCTCAAGAGATGGTGGTTGACAATTGACATAGAACCAAAAAAGAGATGGAGAAGCTAAATATGAAAAGTTTATATATAAGTCAAGGTGACCCAATCACATTTATTTCAACAAATATCCCACAGTTTCTCTAAATTTTAATTAAATCTAAAATTTAAAATAAATACGTACGAAAAATCCTAAAACAATTCAAACTGCAACAAGCCAATTTCTAGGCTCATAATATACATCCACAACTAGGATTCAACCCGCGGTTCACCGCGGGCATCGGTTTTATGCGGTGTTCTTATTAAGTATTTGATAATGTATAATTTAGAATTATAAAAAAGTGTTTTTTTTTGTGGTTGTTAAATTTTTAATTAGGAGAAGGTGTTTTATGTGGTTAAACATGTGTATTATTTTATATATTTGTATCAAAATTTAATATAGTTAAAGTATTACAAAAATGTGAAAAGGTAAAAGTTGTATCATTTTGGTATTGTAATTGTTGTAATAGTGTGTTAGATTCTATTTAGTTTTTTTGTTTATCATAACCAACAGTTTAATTTACTTGTTAATAAAAAGTTAAGTAAGAAAATATGTTGTAAGTAGTTATGCTTGTAATACATTTTTTTGTATGTTCTAAAATAATCAAAAATCATTATAAAGACAATGTAAACAAAATTTCGATAATTTGCGTTTAGTGACATAAGTCCTTAAAGAAAAAAAACAAAATTAAGATAATTCCTGTAAAAAACTATATAATCGTATTTATTTAAACTCCAACCCGCTCCATCACATGATCTGCGATTATTTAAATTTGTAAAGCAAGTTAAAAAAAAACATAATTCACAACAAAAAAAGGCTTAGAATAATCAAAAGATGGAGAGCTTTTTGATCTCTCCTCTTCTTCATCCCACAATCTCTTATGATATATCACATGAATCCTAGCAAATAATATTAAATCAAAATTAGTTATCAAATTAAAAAAAAAAAACTACAAACCGCAAGTCTCAGGCCACCAAGTTCAACTACCACCACAACCTGACTTGAGTCCTCAATTTCGTAGCAGAACCATGGCAAGACCACCAGCACAACGACCTATTTTGGGACCATCGAGTGGATGAAAGGCCAATCAAAACGCACCTACGCAACAACAATACAATGCACGTAGGAACAGAGGATTTTGATCTTTGTGAATGCGTTTGTGTAATTAAAATTTGTTAGGTGTATTGATTTATTTATCATCGGCTTTTTTTCTTGTAGTGTTTCAATAGAATTGTAAACTTTTGGATAATGGAGTCTTTTAAGCATAAAAGTTCGAATTCAACACAATCAGAGAAAAAGATTCAAAATAAACTTTAAAAAATATCAGAATCCAAGAAAATGTTGGGAATGTCCTGAAATCATTTGTACTTACTCTAGTTTAAGCTGTATCGTCAAGGTTCGACAGTCGGATAATATTAGATGATTATAATGTTTTGCTAGAAGCCTCTTATAATCGATGACTTGAGAAGTTCATTACTAATATTGTTCGATCCTACAGGGTCACACATCTAAGCAGACTGGATTAATGTTATGTTGGGTTTTATAATATATATATGTGTGCATATTTAATGAAGAATTAATATATTATATTTGATGTAATATACACTAGGGCAGTTACCCGCGCCTTGCACGGTAAGTTAATTTAAAAAAAAAAAAATTCAAATTATAAAGATTAAAAATGGCTTACCGACTTTAATATACGATCGACTTATTACATATTTCTAACATAACGTGTATGGTATAAATGATATATCCATCAATTATGGCTTATAAGAACACCAAACAAAGCAAACATTTTTTAAAACTTCTCCATGACCCATTCAATCATCCGACTCTGAATATATTGCATTCTTTGTAGCCCAAGTAAAAGCCATCGAGAGTGTAATATGTATAGAAAACTTGCTAGGTTATTATCCAAAACAAATGCGAACATCCAATCTTAAATATAATGATAAACCCTGCATATTACCGTTCCTTGATATCTTCAAGATCGTAAAACTACGGGAAAGTAAAACATTCAGCCAAGACATGCACTCAATTATTAAACATAGTTTTCTATACATGATTGATATAAAAAAACTTTGAACACCCATCTCCGGACATTAAACATAGTTTTCCTAATGAAAATATGTGAATATTTCTGTCACAATACAAACAATAAAAAGACGGGAAAATCACAATACAAACAATAAAACATAAATCAAAATACAAATCATCTTCCTCGTCATCCTCCTCTTCTTCATCTTTCCTGTCATCCTCATACTCGTCATCTTTTACTTCATAGAAATTCGCATCTTCTTCATCCTCTTCTTCTTATTCATCGTCTTCGTCTTCCTCTCCTTCATCACATTGTTCCTCAAAATCGTATTACTCACACTTTGATTCACAGTCATCATTTTCACCACTTCCATCACATTCGTCTTTGTTTTCTCCCCTCGTCCTCATCAACTTCATATGCACTATCATCTTCCACACATGCACTTTCGTCTTTGCCTGATTCTTTTTCACTTTCTTCTCCACCAACCAAATCCTCATCATTATCACTGTCATAATCATCCAACAGCTCACTATCTTCATTTTTGTTAGTATCCAAATTGGGTTTTAGATACCTCGTGAGTAAAATCCGGAGATAATAATGATTTTGTACGAATTCATCTTCGTATTTTTTTTTATGTGCGTTTCACAATCCTTTGGAGCCTCCTCACAAGTCTCAATATTAATAACCTTACCGATCACATCTAATAAACCATTCAGAAAATTATACAATTAATTTTCACGTAAAACAAAAACTGAAATTTATTTTGAGAACAAAGAACTAAAACATATATATCAAAAATAATTTATAGAGAAAAGAAAACTTACCAACCAAGTAATATCATCGCAATTAACACCATCCCAAAGACGTGTAAAATCAACAAAATTGAAGTAGTTGCTATCTCCAACAATGTCCATTTTAGTAATCTTAGTTGCATGTATCGATGATTAGTAGCTTTGGATGAGCCAAACTGATCCACAACCTTAAAATAATCAAACTGAAACCAATCACCAATAGAAATCTTAGAAACAAAGCGATTATAAACACCACCTCTCAAAGAAGTTTCAACCTTTGAACCATTTACAAAAAAAAAACAAAAACTTTGTGAACACTACTTTTAATAATCGAGTGAAGGAATTTTTTTTTAGAAAATCGCAAACCTTCCTATCGGATAGAAATCATCACTAAACTCATACCAAACCCACTGAAATTCTGTCTCCATAAACACAAGACCTTGTCTCGAATTCTCCATTCATATTTTGTTGAATTTAAACGTGACATGTCCTCAAGAGGTCCCCTAGGTTTCAACAAATTAACATAAACATACGGTGAATACTTTAAAGTAGAACACATATTATCATATTCATTTATAAGGTAAACAATATACCTGGAGTCACGAAGGTCAAAGATATTTTTATGGTACATGGAATACTCATCTACTTTGTCAGGGCATTGTTTTTCGACAGTCTCACAATCACAATCGTCGAGACTCTCTTCCTTCGACTCGGTCATCTCACTATATCCCTCATCACCATCGTCTTCATCATCTTCATCACCATCCTCATATTCGTCGTCTTCTACTTCACATAAATCCTCATGTTCCTCATCTTCATAGTCACTTTCATCGCAACAGTCACATTCATCACAATCCTCTACTAAATCATATTCGTCTTCTCCTAGCTCTAAACCATTAGCCTCGATACTCACAATGCACTCGTCGTCGTTATCTGTGTCCTCAACTTTATCATCATCATCAATCTGATAAGCAGGATCATCTTCTACATGAACCACGTCTTCAGCACACGATTCTTTGCCACATTCACCGTCACCATCCAACTCGTCGATATCATCACTGTTATAATCATCTAACAACACAGCACTTGCATTTTTGTTAATATCGCTTGGGGTTTTAGACACATCTTAATCAACCTTCGAAGATAGAAATTTTTTCTGGTAGAGAATCACCCTTGTCCGAATCATTGCCTTTTCTACAGACATTCAAACCATCCCAAGTTGGAAATTCCCCAACATGAACGACTTGCCTAATAACATCTAAAAAATGTAAAAATACTTACGTGAGTATCTCGATTGTTTTTTTAAAGAATATATTTAAGCGTATTAATAAAAAAACCTACCAACCAAGCAATCATCACAATGAACACCATCCGTTATCTTGCTAAAATCAACGAAATTAATGTAATTCTCATCTCCCATAACATCCGCTATAACAATTTCAGTTGAATACAAAACAATTATTTTGTATCGGTGATCAGTAGCCTTACACGAACCATATTGTTCCAAAACTTTAAAATCATTCAAATCAAACCAATCACCAAAAGTAATCTTAGCACCCGAACGATGGTAAGCACAACCTCTAAAAGAAGCCTGCACCTTCGACCCCTTCCAAAAAAAAAAATCAATAAGAGCTTTTTTTTTTTTCTAAATCAATAAGAGCTAAAATCCAATTAGTATTATATTTATAAAGTATAGGTTATACGAATAACACATAAAATCACAAACCTTGCTATCAGATAAGATTACTTCTAAACTTGTACCAAGACCACGTAAGTTTTGTTGCCATAGACACAGAACCTTAACTCGGATAACCCAATCATCCTTGGAAGAATTCAATCGTGACACGTCATCAAACATCTTGTATCTCATCGTCTGACAAAATAATTTGAACAAAGTAAGAGAGATCAGCACACATTAAATTGTTATGAACAATACGAATCTCAAGAGATTTTTAATCATTCTCGAATAAGAATTCTTACACCGTCAACTAAAACTCGATTATGCCAAGTCGGTAATACGGGTTGTGGATGGTAAATCGGACGATATTTTTATGGAAAATAACATTTTAAATTACCGTAATATACATATAAACAACCGAAACGGAAAAGAATATTACGAATATATAATATTTATATTTATCTCCAATATTCATATTTACCAATATTATTGAGATTTTTCAATAGAAATTATTAAATGGTTTTAAAAAGGAGAATATCCTATTACTCTTTAGCATAACATACAGGAAAAAAAACCCTAAAATAATAAAAGTGTAAGAAGAATTTATAAAAAATATTTTTTTTTAAATGTCAATATCAATATTTATATCGAGTCATTTAATTTTATAAATATCCTAAAGAGAAACATTCTATTGTTTTTAGACTAATATATACATCTATATAATAATAACACGAAAGTTGCTGAAAAAGTAAAATCATAAATGTAAATTTATAGCTCTATCTTATTTTATTCGAAAGATAAAACAGAAAATTGCTTAATAGTATCCAATATTTGTATATATCAATATTAAGATCAATCTAAATAGGTTTGTTAATAAACCATAAAAAGAAATTATCATGATACTCTTTATTCTATTTTTTTCTAATATATATAGGATAACGTCAAATAATGTAAAATAATAATACGAAATTATAGAAACGATTCAAATCAAAATGTAGATATTTAACTCTATCTCATTTTTTTAAAAGATTAGATATAGAATTGTTTCACAATAATATAAATATACCAATAATTTAATAATTTGATATTGTAACTAATAATTGATTAAAAATAAACAAACAATACGGTGGATAATATCAAACCAATAAAATTAGCATATCCCTCTCAGTTAGGCAGTTTCACATATACAACTGGTAAGGAAATATAAATCTATAAATAACGTAATACAAATTATATATCAACGATATAGATACATTCTAGATTTAGATAATTTATTATCTATATATGTATTTCGAATTGTTATTAGTATATAAGCTTTAGGGATGTAATAATTTATTAATAATCGCGACCTCTGTTTAAGAATATTTGTGAATTAATCCTTTCATAAACGATCATTAGATAACTCCAAACGGATAAGATATTTATAAGATAATAAACTGTTGGTTGATCTATAACAGTTTGCTTTGTTTAATATTAACATGATAATATATATACTTTTATTAGTTGCCTAAATCATTAAGGTTTTCGATAAAACCTTCTCACAGCTTTTATAGAACTCCAAAACTCTTTTTGAGTTAACTTAGATTAAGATCAAAATCGGTTATTAAACCCCTCAAATGATTTATTTAAACCCATCTTCAATCCAAGCTCTCTTGAATTCCCGGAGATACAAAGTTTTCAGTGTTTTGTTGATTCTTAATTAGAGAAACAAATATAATATTAATATAAAGAAACTTTTAGATTAACACATGTGGTTAATCGATAAGTTTACCTCTCTCTATTTTGAGTTTGAGATGAATATTCAAATTAAAAAAAAAAAAAAATCAGATCTAACGTGTACCATTAATTTACACTTTCCCAAGAAATTCCAAACACTAACATCATATTATCTCTTGTATATTTAAGAGAGATCTATATTAAAGTGTTTAGAGGGTTTACGTAGAGAAATTCACCCTAGGGTACCAACATGATTCTCACACCCAGATTGTCATGCAAGAATTTAGCCAAGAACATTACCTTCTTCTTCTCTCTTCTGTTCTCTGATCTGCATGCATACTCCTGCTCTTCTGTTTTACTTCCTTAGGTTTGGAAAAGATCAAATAAACGTAAATACGTCATAAAAAAAAAAGAGAATGTAATATAAATGTTAAATATAACTAAAAAGATTAGAATTCATAGAGAGAGCTTGTGTTATTTCAAAGAAGATGGAATCAAAAAAAAAAAATAATACGTTCAGCATGACTACTCATTATCATTGCCACCAGGTGAAAGAGATGTCAACAATTACAAAACCGACTTCGTTAGGGTTTATACGGCTTTAGCGTTAACATGACTCTTAATTAAGAGTTTAGCGTTTAACCATGATTTATGCACAAACAAAATAATCAAAAGCAAAATCATAACAATATACTCATCATGACGCTCATATCATCAATTTATAACCATAATCACGTTTGAATAATAATAATAATAAAATAGTCACTGGTAAGGAGAAGAACATTACATGCGGTGGCTGCTCCACTTAAGGGAGAAGGCAGAGACACAAAGGTGGTTACGGCCATTGATTTGATCGAGAGAAGAGATATGAAGATGTGACATAAACTTATTAAAGGAGTTAATAACATAATAGACACGCATATAAAACCAAACAACTACGAAAAACAAAACATGTAATCGATCAAAATATAAACTTCGTTTAAGAAATTCATCAACTATTGGCAAAGATCTATGAGATCTTACTTTCCAAGTAACCATAACATGAAAAGGAGAACAAAATATCGATGACAACGCATCATAGAAAGGACCAATTTTGAACCATAATTGCTATGCATAAAAATCAAGCCATGATGTTTGAGTTTCAAGGGAGGCATCCTATATTTATAGGAATTTTCAGCATAAGGTTTTAGGGTTTTACATATGACGGTGTAAATTATACGGGCCATTTTTTTTTGTAAAGATATAAGCCCAATAGGCGAATTAGGGTTGGAAAAACGAAACGTTATATTTCCTTTTTTACATGTTCGATTTTTTTTTAATTAAAAATATGGAAATTTAGCTAATTTAATCTAATTAAAGGGGGAGGGCAAAAACGACTGCTCATATTCTGAGAGCGAACGTGAGCACTTTCGACTTCTCCTTTAATATATAAGATATGCACATACGTAGAAGAGGAAGAGTGCAATTAACTAGTTGGGCTTGGCCTATTAGTAAACCTAAACGTATTAGGTTAATTGCATTCGTTATATAATGATGCTTTGGTGCTCGATTATATTGATAGAAGCCTCCTCTCGCCAAAAACCCTAAAACATAAGAGACAAATAGTTTGTCAAGTTTTGAGATCTGATCTCTATACGGCACTAGCATCCCGGTTGATCCAGTTTGTGTGCGTGTGGATACCAGTGGAGGCACAACGTTTGGAGTGCTTTACAACCTCGGTTATTTGAGTTCATCTTTCCGCTGCGAATTAACCAGGTATATTCATAAACTGATGACATAGATTTAATTCAATATTTACACGAATTCTGGCAATTAAATTTGTGATTAGTTTTATAAATCGTTATAAACCGTACAAATTCTAACAGTGGTATCAGAGCCTACGTGTATAATTTTGAAATTGAATCTATTTTAATGTATATATGTGATATACAAAATAATTTGGTTTCGTTCATCGATCCTAATTGTAATAATTGATTAATTGTTAATCGGAAAAATAAATCTGTAGTATGCAATTTCGTTATCATAGTTTTATGATGAATATTAAATTGATCTAAGTATATATAGATATGCTTTTGTCATCTTGTTAAATTCTGTTCGTATACGTATGTTTGACTTTAAAATAAATATATGAGATATATATATATTAACTCGATGTACGTGTTATTGAATTCATACGTGTATTCTGTGCATTATGGTAATGCTTGTTGTGTTGGATTTTTAAATAAATGTATATTAAATGTCTGTTGTTGATAAAAAAAGGACAATGATAGCACTATTTAATTTAATTGTTCATCGAGTAGTGTGCGGAAAGTCGGCTTTTTCATACCCCCACATAATGACTGTGTTGAATTCATACATCGAAATATTAATAGTGCTAAATCATACCTTACCTTTTGATAAATTTGAATTCCAAACCTGCACTCAACTTTAATTTTTGTGCCAAATAATACAAAAACGTGCAAAACGCCTAACACTGTTAACGAACCGTGAAGTCATGCTGACGGGGAATCCACGTGTGCAGAGAGTTCCAAAACGACGTCGTTTTGGATTGAATTGAGATGTCAAAAGAAAACACAAAACGACGTCGTTTTGGACATTGTATTCACTTCATCTTCTTTCTCATTCCCGATTCTAGAACTGTGAGTGATAAACCCTAAGTGATTTGGGGGTTTTCGATTCTCGTGGATTCCGTCTTAAGGTGGCTTCGAATCCAACGTTACTAGCAATGATTACCAATGAGGAAGGCCAAGAGAGAGATCCGTCGAGGTAATTTCACTTATATCTGGGTTTTTTGAAATCAATTTCGGATGTTTTCACATCGATTCCTTGAGTTGCTAAGTAGATAATTATGGATAGTTTGTGTCTCTGCATAGTTTTTGTTAGTTTATTGTATCTGAATTGTCTCGATTTTGAGCCCCTATAGAATTTTGTTTATTGAACACCAAGTGTTCGATATAATGCTAATTTCTTAAAATTCTCTTTTTTTTTTTTTCGTTTTTCAGTTCTGAAGATACGACTTTCCAGATCTACTACAATGGAAAGTTTGTAGTTTCAGCCGAAAATGTTCTTACATATGTTGGAGGCGAGATTCACATGCTTGAATGTAATCCGGAAACTGTTTTTACTAACATGACTGGGTCATTGGGGTTATCTCTGTTTGGGCAAAGGATCTGGTTTAAGCTCCCTTATGAGAATTATCAAGAGTTGAAGTTGTTGTATGCTGAAGCTGAAAATTTCCAAAGAATGTGTTTAGCTGCGAAGTGGACAAAAGCTGTTGATATATTCATGGAAAAGGATGAGTCTCCTGAAGAAGGTAATGATGTGAATGATGTGACTGCTAGAGTTGGTGAAGAAGACAATGAAGTGAATGGTAGAGAAAATGCTGATGAAGAAAATAGGAATGAATTCAGAGGTGGTGAGCATGAAGTCAGACGTGGTGAGCATGAAGTCAGAGGTGGTGAGCATGATGTTAGAGGTATTGGTGATGAGCATGATGGCGAAGAAGTTGCTGATGAGGATGAGGTTTGTGATTCAGAGGGAACTCCTCCGAATTCTGATTCTGAGGACTGTGAAAGAAGGTATGTTAGGTATGAGAGTGGTAGTGGAGAGATAAAATTGGGCCAGGTATTTGACAGTATACCTCATTTCAAAGAAGCTGTGGTTGAAAATTCTCTAAAAGAAAAAGTTAATGTGAAGTACACAAGATGGGGAAGCGAGAAATCTGAAGTGAAATGTACACTTGGTGGTGATTGCAAATTCAGAATATACTGCTCTATACAAAAAAAGATAGGAAAGTACATGGTTATGACATGCAATGATGTACATTCATGTATTCCAAACGGGTACAGCAAGGTCTTGAAGGATGGGGTCATTGCTAAGTTGTTATTGAATGACGTTAAGAAATATCCTACCTTTAAGCCGAAGGCCATGCAAGAAACAATTGAAGACCGTTTCAATTTGGGGTGAGAAATGATCAATGTAGAAAAGCCAAGGCAAAAGCATTGTCGGTGATTGAAGCTGAGCATGAGGAGCAATTTGCTAGACTAAAGGACTACCGTCTAGAGCTAATTGAGTAAGTTATACATTTTATATCTCTCAAATTTCAGATGAAAATTTTGATTTGTTGTCATTAACTTTTCTTGTTTTTCTCCACAGGTCTAATCCAGAATCAACTGTGGAGGTGGGGACAGTGTTAACTGATGATGGTGTAGAGAAATTTGACAGGATATATGTGTGCTTAGCAGGACTCCGGAAACCATGGCTTGCTCATTGTCGACCTATAATTGGGATAGATGGCTTCTTCTTGAAGAACAATGTTAAAGGTCAACTCTTGGCAGCTATTGGAAGAGATGCCAACAACCAATTCTTTCCTGTTGCATGGTGTGTTGTGCAAGTAGAAAATACAGAAAGTTGGGTGTGGTTCATTAAACTTCTTAAAGCAGACTTGAAGCTTGGAGATGGAGAAGGGTTCAGCCTCATTTCAGACAGGCAGAAGGTAAATATCTTGTCTTTATATTGATACTAAGTATAGTTAAATATGAGGATTAATAGCATTAGTTTCTGTGATAGAGTTTGCTAATTGCTGTTGAACAAGAGTTGCCCAAAGTAGAACATCGTATGTGTGCTCGCTACATCTATGGGAATCTAAGGAGAGCATATCCAGGAAAATGTTGGGGTCGGATCCCACACACTTTCGGTAGGATCCACTTGGATCTGTCCACGTCATTATTACACAATAATCCTCTCGGATTTCTAAATACTTTATTGGACTTGACCGGTTGGGAGTTCGATTCAGTTTACTAAAGGAGTTCGATCTTTACCAGTACGGAGTTCACTCTTATTTAGCATACAGTTCGCATAGAGAAAGACCGAAGCGAGGAGAATATTGTTCGAGGCTCGCGGTATCATCAAAGCACGGGAGTTCGGAGTCAGCAAGAAAGAGTTCGGAAGGCCCACGTGAAGCCCAAGACAAGGTTCAAGTTCAAGCCGTTTCGGTCAAAATGTAACTTATGTGATTAATGCGGATCAATATGATTACGAGTAGTAAATAGCCGCATTAATCATGTTTTCTCTATAAAAACAACCTCAAACGCATGGTGTTTGGGGGACAGACAATTTTTACCTCTTACGATCAAGCAATACAACATACTTTTTCTTTCACAATTTCGCAAGGCTTTTTACTAGTTTATTCTTATCAAATTCTTTCACTTTATATTGGTTTCTTGGTTACTTTCCTTTTCGGATTCTTATTTTCATCCTTTGATTTTAGAGTTTTTCTCCACAAAAATACTTAAAGACAATCGAGTGTGAATCCTACATCCACATTTTGGCGCCGCCTGTGGGGAGTTACCGCAAAACTCTTTAATCTCAAAATATCTCTTTCTCGAACCAAGAAACTATGGCTGACCAGCAAGCTTTGAGCAGTGCAATTGCCTTGCTTACTCAGACAACCACCGATCTGACCACTCAGATTGGTACACTCGCTGATGCCAACACCACTTTTAGTGAGAGGTTGAATTCAATCGAGCAAACTTTAACGAGTGTTCAAACCACCCAGACAAATTTGTCAAACGTGCAGAATACTATTTTGAGCCGTTTAGATAATTTGTCTTCAGCGCGAACAACGATACGTCAACGCAGGTTATTCGCGACTCCCGGGAATACCCAAACCCCTCCTGCAGGCCAACCTGCTAATGTTAGCAACCATGCAGCTGTAGGGGATGCGACTAACCCAACCGGGGAACAAGTTCCCCAGGGTCAGGGAAATCTTCCTGATGACGACGGATTCTTCATAGAAGATCCTGACGTCACCCTATTAAACGATTTTGTCAAAGTTCGTCAAGAGCTTGATGAAATGAAGTCGAAGTTTCATCAGGCGACCAGTTCGGCGCCTGAGATCGATCGAGTAATCGAAGAAACTCGACGAACACCCTTCACTTCGAGAATCTCGAACCTTCGGATCAAAGATTCTCGAAAGGTCAAATTACCAACTTACGATGGTAAAGGCGATCCTAAAAATCACCTCGCTGCTTTTCAGATCGCTGCTGGCAGAATTGATCTAGAACCAGACGAGGAAGATGCCGGATATTGCAAACTATTCTCCGAGAATCTATCCGGATCGGCTTTACTATGGTTCACTCAGTTGGTTCCTGAATCCATTGATAGCTTTAAGGAATTGTCCTCCGCATTCCTAAAACAGTATTCCATGTTCATGGAAAAGGCAACCTCTGATGCAGATCTCTGGAATTTAACCCAAGGTCAGAACGAACCACTTCGCAAGTATAACGCTAAATTCAAAGAAGTGGTAGCCAAAATTCCTGGGGTATCGCACGCTGCTGCCCTTTCTGCTTTAAGAAACGGACTCTGGCATGAATCTCGATTCCGGGAAGAAATCATCGTCAATCGTCCGAACACCATCCAAGACGCTTTATTTAGAGCTACTAACTGGATGGAGGCAGAAGAAGAAAAGCTTAGCCTCGCTAAAAAGCATCGGCCAGCAAAATTGGTCGTTGGAAATCCAACTAAAAAGTTCGAACCAAAAGATCAAAAACGGTTCGGAGTTAATCCTGCTACTAACGCTGTAGGAAAACCCTCCCCGAGCAGAGGAAGATACAATTCTCCTAATACTTGGGTTAGAGATGAGAGTGCCTATTGCGATATTCATAGAGTAAATGGACATTCCACCAAAGATTGTAGCGTACTCAAAAAGCACCTCACCGAACTGTGGGCGGCTGGAGAGCTCGCTAATTTCAATATCGAGGAGTTTGTGGAATCTTATCATAAAGAAAAAGAAGATTTCGAAGCGTCTAATCCTCCTGAAAAGAAACATAAGCCCAATGGGCCCGGAACTCCGAACACTCCTAAGAAAAGGATCGATGTTATAATGGGAGGATCCAAATTATGCCGAGATTCGATCAGATCAATCAAAAGGCACAAGAAATCAGCAGCAATTCAAACCGCTGTGGGTTTCCAGTCAAGTGAACAAACACCTTCTATCTCTTTCGATAATTCGGATACTCAAGGATTAACAGGACCTCATGACGATGCTCTTGTGATAACTTTAGATGTTGCGAACTTCGAAGTAACTAGGTGTCTAATTGATATTGGAAGCTCGGTAGATCTCATATTTCTAAGCACTTTGCAAAGAATGGGAATCAGTAAAGCCGATATTATCGGTCCGCCAGCACCATTGGTAGCTTTCACAAGTGACACTTCCATGTCCTTAGGAAACATAAAATTACAAGTACTTGCCGCAGGGGTTCCAAAAATCGTAGAATTCATTATTTTCGACCGTCCGGCCGCTTACAACATAATTCTCGGAACTCCGTGGATTTACCAAATGAAGGCTATACCTTCAACTTATCACCAATGCGTGAAATTTCCGACTCCTGCAGGAATCGGAACCATTCGAGGTGATCAGGAAACATCGCGTTCTTGCAACCTCATGGGACATCGTTTAAAGCTCAAATAGCAATTAATGATAAACGTGAAGCAAGAGAGCACCTCGCGTTACCCAAGTGGTCTCAATTCGAATGAAGTTACTACAGAAATTGAAATTGATTCCGAATTTCCAGATCGAAAAGTAAAAATCGGTACTACTTTAGATTCAGAAATCAAAGATCAATTGGTAACATTCCTAAAGGAAAATAAACATACTTTCGCCTGGTCGGCAAAAGATATGCCCGGAATCGACAAAAGTATTATCACCCATAATTTAAACGTTGATCCCAGTTTTAAACCGATAAAGCAGAAAAGAAGAAAACTGGGTACTGACCGAGCTCAAGCGGTCAATGACGAAGTTGATAAGCTTTTGAAAATTGGTTCATTTAGAGAAGTAAAATACCCGGACTGGTTAGCAAACCCCGTGGTAGTCAAACAAAAAAATGGAAAGTGGAGAGTATGTGTCGATTTCACCGACATTAACAAAACATGTCCAAAAGACAGTTTTCCTCTCCCTCATATCGATCGGCTCGTAGAATCAACAGCCGGAAACGAACTCTTAACATTTATGGATGCATTTTCAGGGTATAATCAGATCATGATGAATCCCGAAGATGAAGAGAAAACATCCTTCATAACAGATAGAGGAATCTACTTTTATAAAGTTATGCCATTCGGTTTAAAAAATGCCGGGGCAACATACCAACGTTTAGTTAACAAAATGTTTGCAGAACGATGGAAGTTTATATAGATGACATGCTCGTGAAATCCCTTAAGAAATCCGAGCACATCACACATCACGAGCAGTGTTTCAAAATTTTGAACGAGTTCGGAATGAAATTAAATCCAGCCAAATGTTCCTTTGGCGTGCCTTCCGGAGAATTCCTGGGGTACATAGTCACGGAAAGAGGAATAGAAGCAAATCCTAATCAGATTAACGCTTTCCTCACTATGCCTTCGCCAAGAAACATTAAGGAGGTCCAACGATTGACAGGCAGAATTGCTGCATTAAATCGTTTCATATCGAAGTCTACCGATAAATGTCTCCCGTTTTATCAAATTTTGAAAGGAAACAAAAAATTTCGGTGGGATGATCAATGCGAAGCGGCATTTGGTCAACTCAAAACTTATCTGAAAACACCGCCGATTCTCTCAAAACCTGAATCAGATGAAAAACTTTATCTCTATATTTCAGTCTCTAACCATTCCGTAAGTGGGGTGTTAGTTCGAGAGGACCGAGGTGAACAAAAGCCAAATTTTTACATAAGTAAATCTCTTACTAGTCCAGAAACGAGATATACCATGATGGAAAAATTAGCTTTAGCAGTAGTCATATCTGCTAGAAAACTCAGATCTTATTTCCAATCTCATCCGATAGAAGTTTTAACTTCTCATCCACTTCGCTCAATTCTTCACGGTCCAAGTCAGTCCGGAAGATTGGCGAAATGGGCAATCGAACTCAGTGAGTACGATATAGAATACAAAAGTCGGATTAGCGCAAAAGCACAAGTCCTGGCTAATTTTCTAACCGAACTACCATTAGATGATGGAATCTTTGTTGAAACGGACTCCACATGGAAATTACATGTAGATGGCTCTTCTTCTAAACAAGGATCCGGAATCGGTATTAGGCTCGAAACTCCGACAAAAGAAATAATTGAACAATCATTTCGATTATTGTTCCCGGCTTCAAATAATGAAGCGAAATACTGATAATAGGTTTTTACGATCAATTAATCCTAAAACACTATCCTGTCGTTGTAGTATTTTAGGTGTCAATCCAATCAGGTGTGTTGCAAACAAATGAGATATGATCAGAAAGCACTAAGTCAAGCCAAGCAGAATTCAGTTGTTGTTCTAACAGTCCTAGTGATTGATTGCAGAAAACAGTAAAAATTGCAGAAACGGACTGCTATACTCTATCACAAGGCCCACTGCCAGAAGGAGGATGTGATAGAGTAAAAGGGTCCGAAAACAGACAGTTATCAAAATTCAGCAAGTAACAGAGAAGATGAATGCAGCAGGTAAGTAAACAGATAAAATCAATTGGATAAGAAACTTCTAAGGATGGGGTAATCGAATAGTGTGGACTCCATAATCAATTCAGATGGTTAACAATTCTCAATGAAGCTATCCCTAGACAACAGGTTCAACAACAGACTTATTCACTCCCGTGCAACAAATCCTCAAG